GTAGTTTCAATTATTTTAATGTTGGAATTTATTTGATTAAATTTTTATCGATTATAAAAGACCGTTCATGTTGAAAACTGTCATTAATCTGTGACTAGTACGTTTTATGTCTTTCAATAGTGAAGCTCATTGGGAATAAATTTTGATTTACAATTTGTAACAAAAAAATGTATTGGAATTTTTCAAAATTCCGTCGATTTTATTCCAATGTTTTTAATGGTGTTTTATTTATAAGACGAAAAGATCAGTGGCCTCTCAATAAGAACTCTTTTTGGGCTGATTTTTGTCGAAAATCAACTGTCCATGGATTGAAGCATGTAGTGAACAAAGATTATACTTTATGCGAAAGGTTGTACATTTTTCTTGATTTTATTTTTGGTGCTTATATTCCATAGGTGATGACGAGGGTTCCTAGGGTTCCGATTACCCCCTCTAAAATATTTTTAGGAACCCGCAACAATTTTGGAAATGAGGACCTTTGTTTGCTTTTTGCTAAAAAAAATTCCGTCATCATCTATGCTTATATTCACTTATATTAATGCATCTCGTTATAGAATTTTTTGGTTAGGCTTGGTTCTGTCGCTGTCGTACTTTACACTTTCCATCTGCATAGATCAAATTACGCGATTTATCAACAATCCGTTTGTTTTTAGTGTGGAAATAGTTTCCCATAGTTGGAGTTACAATCCACCAGGCATCACTTTATGTGCAGATTATGCAAATGAAAGTTTTATAGACGAATACTATGGACGCTTCGCAAAAAATAAATCGATAGATCGAGAATCGAAAGTCTATCAAAATTTTAGCCGAAATATGAAAATCATTGGCTCATTAAATGCTGAAAATATAGAGTTAATCGAAAATTTCGAAAGTACGGACGTATTTAATAATCTAAGTGGGAAAGATTTATTGGACATCGCAATAAACGTACGAATGCGTTTTGATTATTAAAGTGATCTTTAATTAATTACTATTAATTGTTTGTAGCTGAAGTATTACACTGATACATTTATCGATCCTGTGCGTCCAGTTATAACTGAAGCTGGTATCTGCTATTCAACCACACTGCTCTATAAATACTTTAAGGCTTTTGAAGATAGGTCAATTTAATAATAAAATACTATATATGTATAGCATATGTCGGCAACCAAGACCATGGGGCGGAAATGAATGAGACGAAATTTTCTCTCTCATGGGCGCAGCCATATTGAAAATTTTGTATGCGCTTATATGTAAAATTGGTGGTGCCACTGGTATATTTGATGGAAAAAGAAGAACATGTTTGAGTCTCACTCGTTTATATGTAAATTACATAGGCATTTCCAGGCCATGACCAAGACGTAATCGGTGAAAACCCAATTTTTCTTGACATACAAATGTTTGCCGGCTATATACTCGATCTTTTAAGTTATTTTGGATTAAAAATAAATTTTAAATATCTTATATGGAATTCAACAGATATGACCACGAAAGATATTACATATATAAAAGCGTTGATAAGCGTGATTGTCGATTTGCCGGTAAATGTACATTCGAACAAAACGGTGAAATTCCCAGTAACATTGTTGTAGTATGTACCTTCCCTTTTTCTATACTGACACCGAAATATTGTAATAATTCATTTTCCGAAGTATTTGCATGGTCTGAATGACACACTCAACATGAAAAGATCACCAAAAGCCATATGGAAATCTGGTTCTGTTGTTGCAAAGTTTGAAATTGATACCAACGAAATGGTCACAGCCGATCAAACCAAAATATTTGGATTTAGGACACGCAATTGCAGATTTGACACGGAAACTACATCCGACCACAGCTATCCACTTGGCATGTACTCACAAAATCTGTGTTTGATGGAGTGCAGTGTTGATGCAGCCACTAAACTTTGTGGATGTCGGCCATTCTATTACAAAATTGGTATTTTACTCTCCTTTCTATAAATTGAAACGTGGAGTTAGCTCGAATGATTTAAACAAAAAATATAAAAAATACATATTTTGCAGGTCTGGCACCGATTTGCAATGTGACTGGAATGTAAGATATATTTCTTTTCATTAACATAATCGTTGCGGCGGAAGAATAGCAACTTGAAGTTTTTTTCGTACACATTTATTGCTATTTATTGTAATTGTCAAGGCTATTTTCTCGCTGTAACCACTGTATGCAAAGATCACCGCATGTAATACCAAATCATATTAATACCATACCATACGATACTTCCAATGTTTGGCATATCTTCACAGGATTTGTTTATCAAAACGTAATTGGAATGAGTACCGAAAAAATTGCACATGCTTGCGTCAATGTAATTCGATTGACTATTCGATCTTGCACTTAACTCAGAAAATTAGTCACACTAATCTGAGACTGAGATTATACATTAAACAAACAAGAACTAAACGAGATCTGAAGTATGGTGTTTCATTCTTAATTGGTATGTTACTTTTTTATACTTACAATAACATTTTCATTTAACTATTTGGATTTATTTACGGGTGCAAAAAAGTATCAATCGGTGGGGCTGCCTCACTTTTTCTTGGATGCAGTTTCATAAGCATTGCTGAGATCTTCTATTTTTCCACAAAACGATTGTATCAGAAATATGCAAAAGGTATCAAATAAAGGAGAAGATGCATATCATTTCATGCTTGTTACGTAATCACTTAGGGTGTATGCACATTTTTAAATTAGATAGTCATCATATTTTCAGCAATTTATAAATATATTTAATCACTCAAATTACAAGTTACCCCATGTGCTAAGAACAATTCAATGTAAAAATTAAAGCAACAAAACGAAATCAATATAGTTGTGGGTAAGCATGTTTCCGTCTATCAAAACAACAGTTATGTGTTTTGTAAAATGTAAAAAAAACCTAGGGGCTGGACACTCGGATAAGGAATCGTCATTTGTTTCGGATTCGTCGGAATAGTGGAATTTGGTTTTTAGCGAAACACTTCGTGTTTGATTTAACAATTTAATGAAGCAATTTTCATTTATTGTAAACATTGGAAATTAAATATTTTTTGTTGTACACTGTTAGTGGTTTTAGTATAAAAACTTCAAATTTTATACTCACACAGTATAACAATAGATTTATACTTGTATTAGTATAGCCGTAGTGGACGATTACACGGACATAGTATAAACATTACACTGCGATGTATACTGTGTCCGTGTAATCGTCCACTACGGCTATACATTACAAGTATAAATCTATTGTTATACTGTGTGAGTAAAACCACTGACGGTGTAATTGGTATCAAATTTATGAACTAAAATTATTTTAATTGTTTTACGACTTATGAATTTAAATAAGTTTATTTATAAAACTGTCAATACAGATATAAGTTCGTTAGTCGTGTTTTGACAGTTTCGAACAACGAACTTATATACGTATATAAAACATGTTGGAAATTTAAATATTAAAGAAGCGATGAGATGTCTGCTTAAAATGATAAAAAAATAAAATTCACGTATAGTTGGCGCTACATTCTATGTAATAAGCGTATACTTTCCACTTAGTCCGTTGCAACGGAAAACAAGTTTGCAATTTTGCATGGAATGCAGCGCCAACTATATGTGAATTTTATTTTTTATCGTTTTGAGCAATAAATCTATGGTTTTCTTATGGCTTCTTTGTTTCCTTTGGAAATCGTTGGAATAGTGAGAGTTGTAAGAATCGTGGATTTGCTGTATATTCTTCATTTTCAAACGATGTACAACCCCTAGAAAAAAACATTATTTACTAAATTTCGTAAAAACTTAACACATAACATAAGAAATTCAATACAATTTAAAATATTAGATCGTGATTATAGTTTCATTATATTCGCTTAAAATAAAAAAAATGATGGTGACGTGTACGAGGTAATTCGATCAATTTTAATTTGTTCTAGAAATGTCCAGTATTTCATTGCTTAAATTAATTGTGGCGTGTTGAAACACAATATGAATTTGTTTTTCTTGTGGAATAAACTTCATGAATGCATGAGTGGCAGTCTTAAGTGAATATCACCAGCAATCACAACTGAAAACAGATTCGTCCACTGAAAAATCGTACGTTATGAAAATGCGTGTTAAAAGACACGACCAAAATAAGGCAAAACACTTTCAAAGACTGTGGTCAAATTTGAAAAATGTGAGCAATTTTTCAGACAAATTTGACTATTTTGTCAGTAATAGTTATTTACATGGATTAAGATTTTTGCATAGCCGTTATGATGCAACCGTTCGGTAAGTGATTATTTTTGTTTGTATCATGTGCTTATGGATGAAATTTCAATTGATCGATGATATTTTAGCATGTTTTGGACTTTTGTGCTAATCACGTCTGTTACCACTATGACCATGGTTTTTGTGCACACATTTAAAGATTACTTGAATAGTGCGATTGTGTTCAACATTGAAACGATTGATTTAAGGAAAAATATAACATTTCCAGCCATTTCTATTTGCTTTGAGAAGGGATTCAACCAAAGGGCAGATACTACAGTAGTTAGAGAATTTATACAGACATATTATGCAGAACATGGGATTAAAGAACCCGATCAGTAAATCAAACAAACTGCTAATCAATTATTCGTTATTTAAAAGCCACTTATTTTAACAGTGAAGATTTTTACCATAATGTTTTGGATTATGTACACACTAACCCAGCCTTTCCGACCTTTTCTAAAACATTGGTTGCATGTAATGAAACTAACAGTACTTGTGGCGTAGACATTGAAACTATGATACGATTGGTTTGTTTGATTAAATGTTTGTACATTTTGAAAATAATTTAAAGTTCCATTTTTCTTTAGGTTCTTCCGAAGTGCAAAGGATGGATTTATAACATTAACTTCAACGGTTTGCACTATCACAATTGTGAGGATATATTCAAAGAAAAAATAATATATAGCGAGGGCATGTGTTTTATCGCTAACTCTATCTATTTCTAGTACGTATGGCATTTCCCGACTAATTTATAGAATTCAAATTTATTTTATTCCGTTTAGTGATTTAAATTGGAATAAATTGCCGTTAAATTATGGAGCGATTGAATCGGTTATACAATTTAAATTCGATTTACTTCAAAGGAAAGGCCATAATTTTTGGGTGAGTCAGACAGCATATCTGTATTTCATAGTATATGTTCAATTGTTCATAGATTAATTTTTAATTTTCAAGATTCACTTCCATAGTCCAGATGAATTTCCAAATACGGATAGTAATCGCCATTTTCATTTGTACGATGACGAAGTTCAGGAATTTTTAATAAAAGTAACTTTTGTATAAAATAAAATTTAACCAATAATCTTATGGGAAGACCCCACATCTTCGTAATTATTAAAATTATATTATTTAATTTAACAGACAACTCCAGTCGAAAATGCAAAAAATGTTCGGGATATTTCGATTGAAGGGCGCAATTGTAGATTTTCGGACGAACGATGGCCCGAAAATGCATCTTTTCCGTATAGTTTTGTTTCGTGTTTAATTTATACTCGAGTTCAGATTGATTTGGAGCGGTGCAATTGCACATTACATTTTGCACCAACTGAATGTAAAAGTTTTAATTTTAAATTGCTTTTTTATGATTCCAGTATGAATGATATCATTACTTGTTTAATTCAATAGATAAAAGTCAATACTGTAGCTATGAACAAATGAAATGCATTAAGGAACATGCAACTCAAAGTAAAGCAATTGAATATCATAAGCATGTGAAGCCATGCCTGTCTACTTGTACTGGTATGCATGTCGGTTTCAGCGGGTATGCGACATCTAGAATTAAATTAATTCTCTCTCATTTATTCAAATTCGATTATACTTGCAGAAAGTTGAGAAAGGAAAAACCTCGGCAAGATGAATATGTTCAGTACAATAGGAGTGACCCAGTGTCGGGTAACACAACAATTATAATTCGAGTTCTGAATCAGTCTCAAAAATTGGTACGGAAGCGTTCATTTACAAATCTTGATTTTGTCGTGACCATTGGAAGCATAATAGGACTATTTTTTGGTGCATCATATCTCAGTTTATTCGAAATTGTTTACATATGGCTCTTGCGCAGGTTTTAGTGACTAACAACGATTTTGGACGATAGCTAGCTAATTTTCTCTATTTTGCTTATTAAACTTTATATTAATACTATCGCACTCAAATTGATTTAGAAAATGTTAGTTGTTTGTGTTATGTGTAATAAGCAGATTTTCCAATGCAACAAATGATTTCAATTTAATTAATTTTTTATGGATTTCAAAGGTTCTTCATCAAAATAATAATAACAAAATAAATTAATTCGAAATATACAATAAAAAAACGGCGTAGTTGAATTTAATTGTTTCAGTTTTTATTTGAGCATACGCAAAATTAGGGTATATTTTAGTTTTATATATTGAAATAAGTATTTCAGTTTATTGATGATATAAATGGTTTTAGGTTTTTATATAAATTAAAAATTGATTCATTTTATTTCTTGTTTAGCTGATAAAAATAAAATTATTGTGCCTAAGCCATAAAATGCAATACATTCTGAATGTAACATTGAAGGTGGCATGATATAGCGTTATAGAGTCTCTACGGCATGATTTAAAATTCATTTATTATTTTAGAAGGAATAGATCGATACATGCTGGGTGAAAAGATTCGATTTTCTTATTTTTTAATCTTCTTTTGAAAATGATATCAATTACAATCTTTGAATATTAAATAAAAATCAAATCTAAACTAATAGTAAACCCACAAATACATAAGATGATAAATAAAAACAATTTTTCTTCTTCTTTCTAAATAAATTCTATAAATCCAGTAGTCAGTTGTAGCATTTGATTGCTTCTTAAACGGCTGAGGCAACCCATTTCAATTTATTTTTCGATGGCATTGATGTGTGATTTATCGGTATGGGTAAATCAAAGTGATAAAAGTTGCACTCGACTTTATTGGTACAGCTTTTACCAAATTTGCACGGTTTTGGATGGTAAAATTCGCACAATGTATTTGAACAATTCGGATAGAAACGACATAGTGTGGGCAGAGGAGTTGTTACAATTTTCTTATAATTGGTTACAGGCACAACGTGTGAAGCTGCAAAATGAAATGAGATAAAAAAAGAGAAGTGTTAGAATAAATAATAATAATATTGACTTTTTGAACAGTGAACTCACCTAAAGGAGGTGCAGCGCTCATGACTGGCGTATGTGTAAAATTGCAGTCGAGTCGAGAGCATGTTAAATCGAATTTACACTTTGGATGAATGTAGAGACAAACGTCACCGTATTTGCAATTTGGGAAGGCTTTGCACGGAGTTGTCGGGTGATAGTATTCACATCGTTCACCTCGTGTACACGATGGATAGAATTTGCACCGATCTTTTTTGGATAATTTGGTATCATTGGATGTCACCGTAATGGCACTGGAAACTAAGCACACGAAAACAAATTATTATTTTGTGAACTATTCAAATGGATTATATTTTATGCTTGATTTTAAACTTACGTGGTGGCAGATTATCGTATTTATTTTGGCTGTTTGTCTTCAATGTTCGCATTTTGGATGTGAATTCATTATTTTCACGATCACGTTCGCGTGATTTACTGCGATTATCTTGTCGGCGACTGTTCTCATGCTCTGCACTCTTTCTGTGCTCCTTTTCGCTGCTTTTACGTTCAACACTTCTTGATCGTCGTTTTTTCACTGGCTCTGAATCGGCTTCAGTCTCACGATCATTCATGTCAAATTTTATGGGCGTTCGTTTGCGTTTTAATGCTTTCGATGACATGTTACTGCTATTTTCAACCGCTTTACGCAATTCCATCTCATTTTCTGTCTCTGCTGATCGTCTACCTATTCGACTTGATATTGGCGTTCTCTTGCGTTCATCCATCTTTGAATCTGGATTCATGCGCGGACTATCGTTTTGTGGGATTTTTTTCTTTGCCGGAAAACCTAATGAATCCAATGTGACGACGAACTGTGTCTTTGGGCCATTGCCGTCTTTTGATCTAAATTTATATGAAAAATGAATTATTTAATTTGTTTGATTAGAAATTAAGAGGTTTGTTTTACCCATCACTGTGAATTGCTTGTGGTATGTAAACAAAGGCATCTTCATCGATTGAATCAGTTTTAACCGGTACATATTCTTCGTCTTCCACTGTACCGGCATTTTCATTTTCAACGACTTCAACTGTTTCCAATTCATCGTCACCGGCAATTTCAACCACAATATTTCCCTTTTGCAACTTATTACGAAACGATTTCGTATACAATTCCTTCGTATTTCGTTCGGTGTCCTTGAATTCACGTGCCACTGGTTTGGTTGCAAGTGCTGTTGATTTTTGGGCCTCAGCCACAGCACGCAATAATAGATTTTTACTGGCTTGTTTACTTCTCGGTATCAATGGTCTTGGTTTCACTTTAACCACGGAATTAACGGGTACCTCAATTTCATCTTCAACATATTCCGGTTTGGGCGGTGCAACAATCACACGAGAACCGATTCGATTGTTAATCGATGGTTTCTCTTCATTTCGATTAACTTCACGTGTTGTGTCTCGATTTGTTCGACTTCCGCGTTGTTCAATGTCACGTTCTCTTTGTCTTACTCGTTCGCGTAAATCTCTTGGTTCTTTTGCATCACGCGGCCGTCTCGTTTGACTATCTCTGGGCAATCGGCTGTCTCCTCGTGCTGAGCCACGTCTTGAATCCGAATTTCGGAGTGGGCTTCGTTCACGCACTTTATCCGTATCCGATCTCTTTGAAATGCCCGACTGTTCGGCGGTTCGACGATGTGCCGGAACATAAATCGCTTGCTCCATTCGACGATGTGCAGACAAACTTATTATGTTCTTATTTCGTTCTGTCTTTTCGCTTTTTTCCATATCAGCCTCATCTCTTGTTCCAAGGCGATTTAAAACCGAACCTTTTTTCGACGGTGACTCTTTGTCCGGTTGTTTTTGGTCGAATGTTATTTTCTGATGTATTTTCCCATCATGCGCCTTCGATACGATGGTTTCACTCGATTCATTGCTTGTGGCAGTTTCTTTACTGTTATTTACCAATTCAGCATCGAAATCCATTTTGTCAGCTCCTAAATTGAGAAAATCTTCATCCTCTGATTCATCGGTCATGTGACGTAGTTGTCGTTTTGCTTGATCGATTTTCTTTTGTAGTTCGGCCAATTCGGTGATTTCTTTGCGACAAACAACAGCACCAACCGCCTTCTTGGCAATCTCTGAAATTGTTGGAATATCAAAACCATCACCAGTGCTGCCGCCATTTCGTTCCGCCTTCTTAACGCTCAGCGGTGGTTCAATCACTTTTTTCGCTTTTTGAATTAAATGATCGGCAAATACGTCGGTAATTGAAGTTGTCGCTGGATTTTGAAGTGGTGGTGTCGTTGATCGCACCGGCGATTTATCTGGTGTTTTATCTTTTGCACCACGTTTCTTTGGTTTTAACTTTTTGTCACGTTTATCTGTCGATGACTTTTGAACTGTATGAGAATAGAAAAAAAATATTACTGATATGTCTCTGTATCTTATCGAAATGATCAAAGTTCATACCGTTCGATGGCAGTGTGACTTCTTCCAATTTTTCCAACACTTGATGCAACCAACTGACAAAGGTGTCTGTGTTCTTTCCTAAAAACAAACTTAAATCGCCAATCATTTGGTCTTTCGATCGCTTATTTGCTACCATAATCATAACATAATCGGGCAACTCATCATCAATGTATCCGGCAGTGCCTGAACCCAACTCAATGAGTTTTGCTTTTACAGCACTCTACACCAGAAAAGAAGAAGAAACAACAACAAATGAAAAAAATGCATCAATATCGATTTATTCAAAATATATCTGTGTCAACCAATCCACACACCGCTCGACAAGTAAATACAATCAATTGATTATTGACTGACAATGCATTCATCGGTAAGCGATGCAGACAATAGATAAACAAAAAATAAATGTAAAATAACAATTGATTGATCTTACCCTCATTTTATTTCCAACTTCGGAGCCCAAACCTTCCATTTTGGACGTAATATTTTTATGAAATTACACGATTTAAATAAAGTTTTTAAATTTAATCACTGTATTCTGGATCCACAGTATATGAATATTATGAACGTGAGTGAAGAGAAGTCAGTCAACAAATGTGTTTTTTTATTATTATGAAATAAATAAAATTTACTTGAGTTGACAAAAAACCAGCTCTTTCTAATACACTTTTAATAACTTCGACGTTTGACAGAACTGTAGTTAGGCATTTTTCCACCAGGTCGAAAAAATGGTGCTGACTTGATTACAACAATTAATGCGTTCACGGTAAAACGGCAAAAACGTATAACAAACGTCGTACGGAATTTATTTAATTTTTTCTCGACAAAAATTTGGAATCAATGACTAATTGTTCTATTTTTTAATTTTTTTTTGAAAAAATTAAAAATTTCCCTGAAAGAATATTAATTTTAAGAAGACATGTTTCGTGACTTCATACGTGACACGACATTTATTCAATGTGGGTTTGACAGTTTGCGTTGTGTTTTCAAAAGTTGTCTATTCGCAACTGTTTTTGTTCGATCAACTATACATATGTTGAATATTAACCATGCACATCTGCATTGAGATTTTCAGTGATAATAACTAAAAAAAATTGAAAGAAATATCAAATTTTACATTAGTTTGTTTCATAAAATTGTTGATTTTCGTCACCAATATCAAAATGGCATTTTCAAACTCAAAACGAGCGTCGGAAATAGACTTTCAAACACCACTTCGCATGTATGTAACATAACACCCCAATTGTTTACATTGTATTGACTGATTTTCGATTACTAAATCCGTTGCTTTATTTTTTCTCTCAATGAATCGTTTATTAACAGGTCGGTTTCGGAATCATTTACGAAAAAGTGAGTTACCAACATTGAACAAGTTGATACATTTCTTTTACTTTACAAGAAAAAAAAAATTAAAATATTTTTGTATACGTATTTCATTGAATGCAGAGATTTGTTGCCAAAACGTATATCCGAATTATCACCGCTCGAGTCATCCGATGACGAAGAACAAGGGTACATAATACTTATATTTTATTGAATTTTCAAACTATTTCACTGAGAAATTGTTGAATTTTTTTTTGCCACTTGAAGACTTCAGAATAATGCATTCTTGGATGAATCGTTCATTGAGTTGTCTGCGGAAAAATCGGCAAATGACAGTGAAAACAATCAAAACATTGCCAACAAGAAGCCAGATTCCATTTTTAAATTGGGTAGCCACATGTCATTGATCAATGAGAAAGGCGAATCAAGTGCGGAAAGTACGTGCAAACGTGATTCGGTTCCGCGTCAATTGAATTTCGATGATGCGGACGGTGTGGAAATTGTGAATAAGAAAGAACCAGATCGGCCAAAAATATCATTGTTCAGTAAAATCCAAACAAATGAAACATCAAAGAAATTGAGCGAATCGGTTGCAGCGCGCATTTCTGATGCATCACGGAAGCCAAAATCAGTAGAAGTTAAAAGTTCGGTGGACAGTTTGATTGGACCACTCGAAGCGGCCACCATTAAATGCAGCACCTTGGCACCATCATCCAAATCGAATGATGCCATCGCACAAGATCCAAAACTATGCACCGAACTGCAAACACCGAAATTAAAATCATCGTTGTCTGATGGGTTCAAGGATCAAAAACAAAATTCAGCCGAAGCGAGAGAAGATGAAACCCCATACAAATCATTTCATATGCCGGCAACGTCTACCATGCGTCGCGTACAATCATCATCACAGCATCGAACACTTTTATCGTCGGCCGGTCAATCGAAAAAATGCCGAACCGAATTGGAAAATGAGTTCAAATCACAAAAGGTTCTGTTTCGTACACCATCGGCCGTATCACGACCAACAATGAAAGTGATGAACCACTTAGGTTTGGACGATTCATTGAATTGTTATCGATCATCGCCAATGGTTAATCTATCGCCTGTTAAAGAGGAACAAAATAAAGGTGGAAAAGATTCGTCAAATGGACCAATCACCAGTGAATTGCAGCGATCAAATGATGACCATCGTGATACAAAAAGTGATGTGGCCAACAGCGATACAGCAAAACCAAATTCTAATGCCAACGAAACGGAGGAGAAAAAGAAAGTTATCACCATCAATGGCAAAGACTTTGTTATACAAAATAAGATAGGACACGGAGGTTCAAGCACGGTATACTTAGTGGAGCACAAACAAACAAGAGTCCCATGTGCGCTAAAGGTAATTAACTATTTTCAACTTGAGTCAATTTGCGGACACTTTTTAAAAATATTGAAAATTTATTTCGATTTTAGGTTGTTGACTTGCGAGGTGATCCGGGACTCATTGAAGGCTATATCAAAGAAGTGAAAATTTTAGCAATGCTTCAAGACAAAGTCAATGTGATTCGATTGTACGAGTAGTAAGTCATCGATTGAAAATGGGAAAACCATTTTTTTTTATTTTTAACGATTTACTTTTATTTGTTATTCTCGTTTAAAGTGCCATCATTTCATCCGAAAATCTTTTGTACATGGTGATGGAAAAGGGAGACTCTGATCTACGAAACATTTTGCAAACGTATAGCTCATCACTGCCACTGTATACGCTAATGGCTTATTGGCATCAAATGCTTGAGTCTGTCGCTTATATTCATAAAAAGGACATAATACATTCGGACTTAAAGCCAGAGAACTTCCTAATGGTTCGTGGTCGACTTAAATTAATCGATTTTGGAATTTCCAGTAAAATGGCAGTTGACGCAACCAGCATTATTAAACATTCTCAAGTTGGTACATTCAATTATATCAGTCCAGAGGCACTGATGGACACATCCACCGGCAACAGTCCAATATCGAAAAAACATCAACCCAAAATCAAAGTAAGTGTAAAACAGTAAACATTATTGATGGCATTGGAGACGAGGAATGGATCTTATTTTTTTTTTGTTCACCATTTTAGATTTCACCAAAATCAGATGTGTGGTCTCTTGGATGCATTCTGTATTTGTTGCTGTACAAAAAGACGCCATTTGCCCACATCAAAAATATTTACGCAAAAATGCAAGCGATTATCAATCCAACCAAAGAGATTGCATATCCAAAACTACCGAATTACTATCCGTCGATGTTACTCGAGGTAAAATGAGAATCAGCTGTTTGAATCGCATATAGACAAAGGGTTCATTGTTTTGTTTTGATTTATTTGCAGATGGTGCAGCTGTGCTTAAAACATAATCCAAAAGAACGAGCATCTGTAGCTGATCTACTGAAATTTCCTATTGACATGGTGATTCCTATTAACAAAAATTCGGAGATATAATGTTTATATTTTGCTCAATTTATATCCTCGAAATCTGAACAATAATAGTATTGAACTCGAAGTATTGTATTTTTTTAAGAAAAATCGTCGCTATAAGATATATAACTAACAAATTCGTTTTTTTTGCTTGGTGAAAGAGTAATTATAATTTATGTTATTGAAAATTCAATCTTTTTCATATATGCTTGTTTGATTGGTTTGAAGTAAATGGATGAAAAATTTCAATTGATTCTGAGAAAAATGAGAAGAACTTTTCATAAACATGCTTGTCTTTGTATCAGAAATGTCAGATCTGTAAAACCTAAAATAAATGGCATCAAATCAAAAAAACACAATTGAGTTTTATTTTTTATTATGTTGTTCTCATTTAATTTATTTGGAATGATCGAACTCTATTGAACTTGATGGTTTTCAGTACATTACATTATTGTAATAAAAATTCGAAGCAAATGACGAAGTTGCGATTTAAACTTATACACTACTAGTTGAAATTGTTGCGTAAATATATTTAATCGACTTCTTCGATGGTTGGGCCACCAGCTCCACCGGCACCTGGTGCAGCACCAGCAGCGCCTGGAAAACCTCCTGGCATACCACCTGGCATACCACCGGGCATACCGCCTGGAGCGCCACCGGCAGCACCATACAATTTGGTGATGATTGGATTGCAAACACCTTCGAGTTCCTTTTGACGATGTTCGTATTCTTCCTTTTCGGCCAATTGATT